AGAGGCATTGTTGGTGATGGTTGGCAGGTTTCTGTTGGTGATGGTTGGCTTTTTTTTTTAAATAGCTCATTGATTTTGGACTGCATCCATCTCCAGCATTGTGACTACACTTCATATAGTAATTAATCACAAACCAGAGCGCACTTCTCCAGCCAAGCCTTTTTTGTTTTGTAAATTTCTTTGCACTTCAACACCATTAACCAGCCACCCCTATTTCAAGCTCGTATTCCTAAGTTCAGTAAAAGTGAGTGTCAGCAATGCTGCAACTCGGCCAAATTAAAATGGAGAATGCTTTTGACTCCGTATGGCTCTGGAGTGTCAGTGTACTATATTACTTATTTCTGGGAATGTTCAGGTCAGTTGATTACTGGGCCCACTACTAGTATCCATCCCAAGACCCACAGAAATCAGCCGACCCTTCCCATTCACCAGGGAGGATGCCAGATCAAAAACTGTGCTTAAGGACTTTTTGGATCCACTGGGCATTAACTTTCAGGCATTTCACTGACAACCAGGAGTCTTGGGCTCCATCCCTGCTACAGCTAGGTTCCCCCCTCTGCGTTGTAGCATTCATGTCCTTCCCAGTTGCCTGCTTAGATCAGATGATAACAGGGCAAAACAATGTGTGTGCACAGCAATGTCACTGCAACTCCTGCTGTTAGAAATGTGGAGCAGGAGCTTTCCCAACTAGCATCTCCCCATTCCATATAAAGCACAGCATAAGCACAGCTTTCCCAAACCCCTTTATTTAGGCGTGAGAGGAACGGAGTGCTACAAAGCTGATCTACCCTCCTATAGCTGGGAGAATATGGGAACACCTGGTCCCGCCATTTGACCCCCCAAGGTAGAATGAATGCTATTTCAGAGAAACAACACAAAATTATTGCTTTATGACCAACAAGCTTTCATTCATGAAAGAGCTTTCTCTTCAGAGGCTGTGAGTGAACAATTCCTATTGCCTGCTGTAAAAACAAAAAGTGCAGCATAGTATTTTTTTTTTAAACCGCTGAGCTCAAACAAAGCTTTTCACTGTATCTCTGATATCTGGCAATTTGGTGACTGAAATGTGATGTAGGTTTCAAAGTATCTTGTTCTGCCTCTCTGCAGAGACCATCAGCAGAACAAATAAGTTACCAGTGTTTGGACTCTCATTATCCCAAATTAGCCTCAGCATAAGATGACAGGAGCAGAGCCAAGCTTTTTGTGGGTCCTTAAGTGGCACCTGTTTGCACTCCATAAAGGACACAGAAAAGGGAGGGCAGGTTTCTCTGCTGCCTGCCCACAACAAAGCTTTCCTGTCAGACTATTGATACCTCTTCTGACAGCAACTTTCAGCCTGCACAACCCGTGCCACTTTTAATCCACTAACAATGAATCAGTTGCCTTGCTTGGAAGTGTTCCCAAGGAGTGCAGGGACTGCACGAGGGAACTGGGGGGGGAATAGAAGGATGACTATGCTAAGTTACATGTAGTATCACCACAAAGACATAATTCTAAGCTAAAACAATACATTTGTTTACATTCAAGCCTAAAAAAGGTTGGGACAAAGAAAACTAAGTTCAAAAGAGAATCTTCTGGTTAGGGGAAAGCGAGTTACAAAATGAAAGCATCTTGTTTGATAATTCATTTGAATGGTTCTGCTGGGGATTTCAGGCTACAGCCACAGGAGCAAAGACAGGAAGATGGGCACATCTTTGGATGGGACAAACTGACCCGCTCCAAAATGCATCCAAAACAAAGCCACCTGTGAAGAGCTAGAGGGTGACATACTAGGATCATTACAACAGGCACATTCTCCTCTGTTATGCTGTTCCTATTACAGTTTGGCACACTTACACATCTCATCCACTTACTCCATCTTGCCTTTGATTCTATTTGGAGCAGAGTGTCATTAATAACGCATCTGTAGAGTGACTAATACCATAGTTATGACTTTTAGGCTACACCATGGACCAAAACATTAAGAGAAAGTGAATCCAGCAGCTTTCCATGAAACCCTCCCCCAGGGGCATGGTTACATTCAACATGCCAAACACCCAGAAGATTTTGTGACAATGTATGATTTTGCAGTAGCTGAGTCTGATGACATGCTTCCCAAGCAGCCAGCTGGCCCTTTCATTCCTGCCTCTCTCCCTTCCTCCTGTCCTAGTACTAATGGTGAGAGCATTTTACAACCTCCAGCTGATGCCAATGTGCCTCTTCCTACTCAAATCAGGTGTAACAGCAACATAATTAGAGACAGGAGTTCAAGCAAAACACATCCATGCAGAAGCTTGATTTATTAAGTGTTTGAGCAAGGACTGGGTTGCTAATATTGAAAACTTTAAGGGGGGAAAAATAGCAGGATTGAACCATGGTGCTAAGGCTGCCCATATGTACAGATCAGGCATTAGCCCAAATATAACAAGCCTGCCCACAGCTGTAGTGTATTTAATCAAGTCTTACAGACTAATTATTTTGCACAACTAAATCCAGCACCTGTGAAAATTGTCTTATTTCAGCTGTGGGCAAAGCTACTTAAATAACATTTTCAATTTCAAGAAAAAACAAAACAAAATCTCTTCAAGTCCAGAATGTCCCCAGTCAACTGCAGTACCCAGGCAATGCAGAGGGAATATTTAACCAAACTCATAGCAAAACTCCTACTCACATGATAAGCTCTTTTCTATTAATACTTGTGGTATCTAATTGCAGGTCCTCAGAACTAAGTATCTTTTGACTTCATGAAAAAAAATAAGGAGATAAGAACTTAAAAAAAACATTCTCTGTCCCCCCCCTCCAAAAAAGCTGCTCTCTTTTCCCAATGAAATTTAATTCCCACCACTGTGTTCTCAAAGCTGGACTTCTGAAAACCCATTTCTTATACCATATTAGTCTTGAAAATTATTTCATCAGTATGGGTATATTAACGGTATTGTCTGCTAAAAGTACATAAAAAGCAGTTAAAATTTCTTTTCCTCAGCAGTAGGCAGCAAGGCTAACTACTGCTTTGCTTTGACTACACTAACAGTACTAAAAATGTGTATATATAAGTAAATTGTGCATGAAAATTGTACAAGTAAACACCACCACATAAAAATGAATAAATTGCTATTTTTTTAGCAAGTCAGAGCCAGTTCTCACTGTTGCAATAAATATGAAATCTGAAAGGCAACTGAAAGCTTCTAAAATAAGGATATTTCTTTTCTCAGATTTTAAGTGTGCTTTTGGCACACTCGCACTTTATCATTCAAAATAGCAACAAACCAAAACAGACCAAAAGGACAGAGTTAATTCAATGCAAAGATCTTCCCTCTCAGTAAATGTCTCACACAGTACTACTCTTAGCAACAGAATGTTTATACAGCACAAGATAAAGAGAGAGGCTTTTCACTGACACCTGGGACAAAACCAAAGAACAAAAGCAGCTCCCAATGCAAGAGAAAAAAGTTACATTTTTCAAGTGTTCCCACCTAATGTAGACAGAAGGCCAGCCATAACAAGTTACAACAAACAACCTATTTACCCACTTCCAGAAAATGCTTGTAAATTTAAACTGTGTGAAATGTCTAACTACTTCTTTCATTGCATCAAAAGGCTTCATCAGCAATGGACAATAAAGCCTCTGGCTTGACCTAAAGGGGCTGGTAGGTTAATCTATTCTGACCTTGTCTTTATTCCATCGTGATACTAAAAGATTGCTTGAATAACTTACAGCATATAACAACGCCAACAGTCACTCTTTTACTACAGTGCTCCTCCAAAGTGCCCTCCAACCAAATCTTTTAACTATAGGGGATATTAAAAATTTTCAAAAATTAATTGTAAAATAAACCAAAATGCAATTTCTCATTCATTGGTACCAGAGGGAAAAAAAAAAAAAAAAAGAGGTAAACGGCCAAAAGCTGAAGAAAATTTTTATCTTGCCCTTGCACATCCCTTTCAGACTTCCACCATCGCTTACTGTCAATTTTAGATAATACATTATCTCTTATTAACTGTCAATCACATTTTATTTATAGTATTTTCACTCAAATGGAAGAAACTAGACAAAAAAAAGCTACTATTTGACAGAACCTGCCTTGTAACAATAGGCTTAATCATACAGACCTCAACTCTTTGTATTTTAATAACTACTGGCTTGTTTTCCAAATCCATTCTATGAGGGTGCTCAGCACTAAACATAGCAAAGCAATGAGTTAAAATTAAGCACATAATTAGGCTCACAGAAGTCAGTAAGCTGGATTCATCACTCGGCAATTGATTTAATCACTCAACTCTCATATATTTAAAGTTCACAGCCTATGCTTAAAGGCCCCTCTGGAGAAAAGTCTCCAGTGCTCAATACTGTATAGTGCACAATCCTACACAAGCACTGTCCTCCCTTTAATAGTACAATAACCATCTATATGAAGAAACTACATAGACTTACATCAACCTGTTAGACCAAGGTAGCTTTGAGTAAAAACTTTCAGCACAGGTTCCTTCATGCATTCACATTTAACTGTGTGGCCATAACTCTTGAAAACAGATCACTCTTCATGTGACCTGCCAGGTAGTGAAACATTTTGACGTGAAGAGAGAGCTATGTTCTCACTTGACATATCAGTTAGAGCACTTATTCTTCAGCATCAACAAACAAATGCATTTTCATTTAACCTTCTACACCTGTAAATGGTTTGGCAACACAAGAGAATATAAAAAAGCACAAACAACCATCAGGCACCTAAATGACATTTGAAAATGCCTTGAAAAAAACCCATGCCAATCTTTTTTAAAATGATCCCAAGAACAATTCCTAATTAGATTTCAGCAGATGCTTAAAATACCAGTCAAGATTAAATGCCATCACCTTTTTCCAAAAGCAGGATCATCAAAGAATAAGGAAGTAAACCAGAAGACAATAACTACAGCATGCGATGCAAGAGAAATGAAAAACAAAGGAAAGAGCATTTCCTTTTGATTGCAGAGAATACTTCTATAAACTACTCCTAGGACTGCAGTACCTCAAAAGTTCCTACCTTGAAAAGCTGTGATATGACCAACAATCATGTACTTCAGTTCAAAGTTCAGTGCCTGGATACTTTGAGTCCTCTCCCTTCGAACAGCTGCCTGGTAGCTTTCCTCCATTTTTTTGGTGCAACACGTTGGTGCTCTATGTTGACAGATCTGTAAATCTGACTCTTAAAGCAAACAAGAAAAACACAATAATTAGAAAACCTTCCAACTTGCACCATAGAAGTAAATAATGCTTCTTAATGTCAAAACAACCACCACGTTTAAAATTTTGAAATAAAACACAACCCATAAGGAATGACATTGTGAAATAGTTATTGTCTCAAGGACACTAATTTATGACTTTCACCTAAATTTGGTTAACTTCACATTATCAGCTGCAAACTTATTTTACACTGTTAAGAGCACTGGGCACAAAATCATCTAAACACAGTCAAGGGCACAGCAGAATGACTGAAGATGCACTTTCAAAGGGGCAACATTTCCACCATACATCTTGTGCTAAGGGCATCATAACTTGAATATCTGAGTGAAAACCATGCCTCAAATTATCCAATCCAATATTCACCTGTGTAGTGCCTCAAGGAACCACCTATTCACCTCTTACACTTGGGGAAGCCTCTCAAAAATCTTTGAACTCCTAAGCAGCTCACCCAAAAAAAAAAAGGGGCATTTGAGTTTTCTAAAAGCTATGGTAGCTGGAGTGGCCTCCCCCCCCCCCCCCCCCCCTTCTTTTTTTTTTCTCTAGTTTTAACATGTTTAGTTCCTTTCTGATTCAGATTTCAAAACAAAACAAGCAGCAATAGTTGCCACAAAAATAGAACTAATTTCTGCAACAGCCTGAGTTCAGCTGTCTAGGACCAGAGTTAAGAAACTGATTCCACATTGAGAGAGACCCAAACCTACAACCCCTGGGAAGTTAGAGACTGCCATTTCAATTTCTAGATTTAACTTGTAGTGAAAGTCAACAAGTATTCCAAAAATAACAAGTAACCAAAAATAACTAGTTTTAAACTTAGTAGATCTCTATCTACTTAACAGTAACCTTGACATTTTTGAAACCGAGTTCTAGCCTGCCTATATGTAATGTAAAGGCACTGAAACCACTCCCACCTCACAACTACAGAGAAAGCTGAAAGTTGATTAAAAAATTAAATTTTTTTGTGGAATTTTTTTGTATCATTTCATCATTGCATGTGCTTCAGTAAGTTTAGTGTCCTTGATTAGGAAACCTATATCATAGAGACTTGTGATGGACACTCAGGGTCTATTTGCTCTATACCACAGGATTTGCAGGTGCCAGAAAGTTCCAGAAAGGAGCTGTTACAGACTATAGATAAGTATATTCTGGTGCTTAACAAATATATGTTTTAAGAAGGGGAGGGAAAAAAAGCAAAGGACTATTAAGTGGAGCAAATCCAAAACCAAAAGGCATGCATAAAAAAATACCAGAGCCAAAATAGTCACACAATATTAAAAAGCAGATATTTCCAATGCAATTTCTCAGTAAAACCTGTAAGAACACCCCAGCAGGAAGCCTTGTGCCAACATGTTTCAGGCATTACCTTCCCTCCACCTCGAGGTGGAAACGGCAGCTCTGAGGGATAGGGGCCGCAGGTGCCTGCCTCTATCCCCAACCCTGAGGCCTCCGCACAGCTCTGGGGAAGGAGACACCCTTTCCCAGGAAGGCCAGTGCCACGCCAGGGGACAATCTCCCCACTCCCACCCATGCCTGACAGCAGCCCAGTGGGAGGTCAGGCCCGAAGCAGCAGCGAGGCACTGGCACACTCCCTGCCGCCAGGCCCGGAGCTGGCCTGTCCCACACCGCCTCCCCCCAGGGCAGCCCACCACCCCCCTGGGCCCAAGGGGATCTCTGGTTTTAAATCGCTGCGAACACTGCTGGCAATCCCTCCACACACAGCAACAACGGGACCAGAGGGCACGAATGGATGGAAAGAGCCCCGATTCTCCAAAAGGCCATATTCCTCCAGAGGATTTCACCCAGGTCACCACAGAGCACAGGACCAAGCCTTGGGATGGGAATATTAATGAGCAATTACACTGCATTAATCCTCACCATCCAGCCTTGCAGGTTAACACATAGCAAGACTCCACATACAGTTGACGATGATGAAAAACAAAAGGGTACAAGGATGCACACTGGAAAAGCAGTAGAGAAACATCCAAACAACCAGGCTGTGCTCAGCGCCAGCTGCAGGCCAACAGCTCATTGAGACCAAAACTGCAAGGAGGAGCTTCAGTGAATCTCCCTTGCCAGGAAAAAAAAAATACAAAAACACTAAGCTGGTTGAAACGTCTCATTTGACTTGAAAATATTGCTTCCAGCTTACAACTCTCATTTGAAAGTGTAGCTAATTTACATCAAAACGGTCAAAACCAAAGTGAAATATTTCAATAAATCTATATTTTTATATCAGTTCAAACACACTAAAGTTGTCACAGACTGGTCTGACACAGGAAACCATTTTGGAGGTGGATTTGTTTCACGCTTCGATATAACCTCAAAAATAGGAAAAAACAACTCTGCCCACTCAAATCTGAAGTCCTAAACCCCGCTGAAAGCCCTTGAGACAAGATCACTGCACACTGGCATAAGCCAGCAGGCTGCTAAAAGCAGCAGCGGGAGGGCTGCGCGCTCGTCACCGGCTGGGCGCGCTCGCCTGCTCTCATCTGCCAGAGAAGCTGTCCCACATTGAAATTAGCTTCTTGGCCAGGCTAATTTTAACTTGGATTGGTTCCCTGATCCAGTTCCCCCATGAACATATGTTTTTTGTGTCACAAGGAACTGGGGGTCAGGGAAGGACCACTTCTCTGAGCTGGCACCACAAAGTGTATGCGAAATTATAGTACAGACTGCTGAGCAACTAAGTCAGTTTTGCAGATGGGTGTCTGAGCAGAGGGGTTGTAAACGTTATTTGGCATCTGCAGTGCCGGGCTGCTGTTACTCACAGCATTTCTCCTTACAGCAGCCCTCTGAATTTTTGTTGGAAAGGCTTTTGCAAAGCTCAGATCTGTATCAAAAGGGTTTGAAATACACAGTGCTCCATGCTGACTACGTGCCAGCCCTGGCAAGGTGCTGTGACTAGCATTTCCCTTCGAACCGAGGCACCACAGGAACCTGCATCTCCTCCAGAAAGCTTTAAGAAGAATATGGATATCTCAGCCGGAACTGTACTCCTGGGATTCCCCACCCAGCTGTCTCCTCTGATGAATACTCCAGGAGCCTGGAAGATTAGTTTTTGTTGGTCCAGAGCCAAAATGATGCAGAGGGCACACCTAAATAAGAAACAGCACTAAGGCCCTGACAGTTAAGGAGCCCGATGTAAAACACAGAGCATTAAAAGACCAGCAAAGAGCAAACCCCGCTCCCCAAGCAGTACTATTCAGGTCAGTGCTGTCATGCACAGAGCTTGGCAATTTCACAATTACAGAAACCTAATAAAAGTTTTCAGTATTATACATGCCTGGGTGCTAAGGTTAAATTATAACTGATGTAATATCTTGAAGTCTTTGATAATTCTGATACTAAAATTAGTTTCTCATCTCTTTCATCTTAATGCAAAATACCCTCTCCAACAGAAAAAAAAGAGGGGAGGAACACAGTGACCCAGTGGTGACCAAGTGGCACACTGCATGAATACTGCTGAGGCGCTAGCTAAGCAGCACGCTCTCACCCCAGAGACAGACAGCACCCCACAGTGCCGCAGCAATCACCTCTATTTAGTATGGGCACTGCCGATCAGCAATAGGGAGACAACCTTATGGGCAAACTCCTCCTTGAAGTTTAGGAACAAAGCCATTCTATACACCAGAGAAAAAGCACCATTTGTGAATGAGGGAAGAAAACTTACCAACAGCATTATTTCAGCAATTGATCCTGCTAATTTCTCTCTAGGACTTTCTTGCCTGCTTTCCCCAAGCTGCCCCTTATTTCCTAACTAATAACTTAGTTTGGAAGGAACCTCTATAGTTTAACCTTTCCTTTAAAGCAGGTCAAACTACATAAGGGCTTCATCCAGCCAAGTTTCGAGCATCTCTAAGGATGGATGATCCCACAACTTCTCAGGGCCTCTGTTCCAATAGCTGGCCACCTTTGTGGTAAAAAAAAAAAAAGTAAATTAAAAAATTGTATCTAATGAGAATTTCCCATGTCCCAACTTGTGTCCATTGCTTCTCAACATATCACCAAGTGCCTGCAAGAATCTGGCTCCGCTTTCTCTATTTCTTCCCAATAGATAGTTGCAGACAGCAGTACGATCTCCCTTAACCTTCTCTTCCTACAACTGAACAAACGCAGCTCTCTGCTCCCACATGTGCGCCAGCCCCCTGACCATGATAGGAGCCCTCTGCTAGACTCTAACTCTATGCCATAGATGTGAAGCACTGCATCCCAAGACACCTCTCTCATGTCATTTTCTTATGCATGAACTTACTGACAGAGCAGAACACCTTCCACTGTACATGCCTGGGCTTCAGTTCTAAAAGGTTTATAACTTTCCTAAAACAAATCAATTTTCTGCTTCAGATCAATCGTCGGAGTAATCCTGTCATCTATGTACATTATTTTTCTGTTCAAGTCTGTTTTTCCCTTGAGTACTGATTAAAACTGTGGCTAAGCTTTTTATTTTTTGAAGTGGGAAAACTATAGACTTTACAACCTTAGTGTTATTATAAAAAAACAGGATAAAGTATCTCACTCCACTTTGAAAAACAAAGTCACATTCAGAAGAAGAAGAAAAGCTATACTACATTGGAGTCTAAAGCATGAGTATTTTGGAAAGCAACAATGATCCCTACTCAAAACTACTCTGCAACCCTGAAACACTTAATACATGCCAAAGGCAGCACCTTCAAACACCTCCCTGTCACAACTGTAAATTACTTAAGGTGCCAAATGCACAGAAAACTATGAATCCTTACCTGATGTCCATCTGGCCAGCACTACTGAAATCAGCTGTGGAGTATTTTCTTGTGTGGTGTTTGGGGATTTTTTTGGTTTGATTTAAATCAGCAGAGGTTTTGGGCTCCATTCTGGACTTCGGTACAAATAAAGTCAAAGAGACATTGGCCATTAAAGCTAGCTGAATTAGTATAAGTTCCTAAAAGCAGAGAGGCCTGTTTAGCAAATAAATTTAACTTCTTCCAA